AGAGTGAGCCCTGTGCTCCCCATCACGTCCCTCCCACACCCCTGCTCAGAAGTGTTACCTGGAAGGGGGATCCAAGCCCCCTGAGCCGCCCCACACACCCTGTGCCCCCCAGCTACCTGGCCTCGCTGGCTCAGAAGGTGCCCGCTGCTTCCTTCGAGGACCTTTTCCCCCTGGCCGAGGGCGCTGCCGAGGTGTTTTCCCAGTGCTGCGACTCGGTGGCTGAGGACTGCATGCAGAAGAAGGTAGGGGGGGAGCCCGGAGCCCACCCCAAAACCACTTCCCGAGTCCCAGGAGGGGCCCAGAGGACACACCCCATCATGGCAGGGGATCCACACACCCTGTGCTCCCCTCTCTGCAGCTCTCTGAGCACACGGCCAAAGCCTGCGCCACGCTGTCGGCCCAGGACGGACGCTTTGCCGACTGCTGCAGGGGGAAAAACCTGATGGAAAACTATTTCTGCATCCGGGCCTTGCCCCCCGCGCCCGCTCCCAAACTCCCAGAGGCACGGGAGCCAACCAACAAGGAGCTGTGTGGCAAGGAGGGGGCTCTCCAGGCCACCAGGCAAGTGCTACCCAGGTTACAATCATGGAGTGAGTAAAACCATTTAGGTTGGACAAGGCCCCTAAGGTCATTGAGTCCAACCGTTTCTTGAGCCTTCCTTCTCCCCTTGGTTATACGGTTTGGTAATTGTGGGGTTAATCCTCAATTCCCTCAGAGGCACCACCCCCAGGGGCTGCACAAAGGTGCCAAAAGCAGCCCCTATCCCCTTCTGAGCAGCACCCATAATAAAAACCCACGTGGTCCCTCGTTCCAGGTCCCTGTTTGAGCTGGCACGGAGGCACCCCAGCCTCCCTGACGCCGTCCTTGCCAAGCTCTATGATGCCTCGGAGAAAATCCGGGAGGAATGCTGCTCAGCCAAGGACCCCTCTGCCTGCCTGGACAGCAAAGTGAGTGGTGGAGGGGTCTCTGGGTGCTCCCCTTGCTCCCCCTCATCCCTGCACCCCTCCAGATCCCTGCAGGGGCTTTTCCCAGCCTGGTGACACCCACCCTGTGCCCGCAGCGCCAGCAGATGGGAGCAGAGCTGCCCCCCGTCCTGGAAAGGGCCAGCCAGCTCTGCGGGCAGTACAACGAGCTCTATTTCCTTGACTTCAAGAAGAAGTAAGCCTTTTCTGCACCTCCCCTCCCCCAAAAAACCCACCTGCATCGGGGGATGCAAGCAAAATTCGTCCGAGACGTTTAGGACGCACAAACGGAGCCGGTGGGTTTGAGCCTAAATAGCAGCAAAAAAGGGGGAAGCAAAAAACACAACGCCCCTCCCCCCCCCCCGCCCCCCCCGCCATCCACGGGTGCATCCCCCCTCCCCAAATGCTGTATGGGTATGGAATGCTGCCGGATTCCCACCAACACCCGGTCCCCTGTGCTGCAGGCTGCGGGAGAGCCTGACACAGACGTTTCCCGAGGCCAGCGCGGAGCTGCTGGAGCAGATGTTGGAGCAGCGAGTCTCCTTCGCCTCCACCTGCTGCACCCCGGACGCGCCTCCGCTCCTTTGTGCTTCCAAGGTACAGCCAAGGACTCTCCCTACAGCCGGGGCGGTGCCAAACTCTACAGCCGGGGCGGTGCCAGACTCCAAACTCCGGGCTGCCCCTCTGCTCTTCCCCTTTTTTCCAGGTGAGCTCGGAGCTGGGAGACGTGTGCAAGCAGGAGTCCTGCCTCCTGGGATAGGGGCCCCCGAGGGAGCAGCTGGTGGGCGTCCGATGCCGACGGCAGGGATCGCTTCTCCAGGCACTCATGGATGGGGCGGGATCGCGAGGCAAAGCTCTGTGGACATGCGGGAATGTGGCACCGCGGAAGGGAGCTGGGCTGGAGGATGCCCGGCAGACAGAAGGTGCCACCAAGCCCACCGTTCCCTACTCACCCACCAGCAACATCACCCTTGTATTCCTGCAGCCAAAATAAAGATGAAAACAGTCCCCTCGCCACCTCTGGAAAGGCTTTCTGCACCCCCGGGGCGGTAGGAAGGGCTGGGAATGGGGACGGCTGCACCCATTTCTGCAGGCAGGAAGAGGTCCCAGCTCTAATCCTGGGAGCTAATGCTCTAACAAATTAGGCAAAACCAGCAAAACCACTCATTTCAAAATATTAATTTCCAATCATTCACATTTCTATTGATAATAATATTCTGTTTCTTTCCAGTTAATAAGTTGAGGTTTATCCTGTTCTGTTGGGTGAGTGACCCACATGTCATTCATACAGTTGTCAAATCCTCCTGCCTCCCCTGGTACATCAGTGTGGATGAGATTCCATTTCACATCCTTCTGCTCCCATTGAAGCATTTTAATCTCTGTCACAAGGTGTTAGTGACCACCCAGAGCTTCCACTCCCTTCCAGCCTCAGTTTGCATCCTTCAAATTCAGGATGCACACAGCAAGGACTGCCTCAATTACAGTGACCTCCTGGGATTCCAAGAAAAGCTGGAGAAATGCCCTTAAGCCAGCCAAGGGCACCTCTGCACGTGACACCATCACTGCTTATGGGGCAGAAAACCACCCAAAAATACCCAACTGCCATTCAAAACAAAACAACACAAACCACAACAACTCTCTTAGTAAAACCAGCAGGCTCCTGGGAAAGCCTGGGCTGCTCCCGGCTGATGCCAGCCAGCATTGATTCCCGAGGGATTCCCTCCAGCCCTTGCCAGCCTGGGCATAAATCACTTGGCTTTTCCACTCTCAGTTGCAGTGGGACTTTCTATTTGTTTTTTATATTAATTTTGTTTACCAAATCTCCTTCCTCCTGTATTTTTATCAGCACCTGTATTTTTATCCCACCAGCTCTCTAACCCATTCCCAAAGATGCGAAGGAAGCAGCAAAATCCCTGATTTTGTTTTGGTTTTCTTTTTTTAATCTCCCTCCTTGTTGCTCAGTGCCACTCTTCCCATCCAGTTTCTCTGCTCCCCACCAAAATGTCAGGGTACAGCAGGAATTTAGCAGCAATGCAGGAATTCCAGGGTGGGAGCAGCATCCCTACAATCTTCCAACCAGGGAATGCAGGGCTGCCATGGTAAAAGGAATTACTTGAGGCACTGAAAACCCAGCGCTGAATAAAATGGCTCCAACATTTACCTGGTCAGTGCCCCACAAAAGCATTAAAAAAAAAGATTGAAAGTAGTAGTTTTATCCACCACTGAGACTTGCAGGCCTGCTTGCTTTCCCAGTGCCTGCTTTTCCCAGCTCATTAGGGCCAGCAGCACCCCAGCCATCAACATCAACCCCCCAAAAACCAGACAGGAAACAGACTCTACCTCCTTTTAATTTTATTTGTCTTCTGGACTGCGTACAGCACATTCCCAAAAGGAGCAGCGAGTGTATTCCTCACAGCTGGAAGCCCCATAGCCAGGCCCAGCAGAGCCTGGAGATAAACAGCCATTTTTAGGGGGGGGGAACCAGCTCCAAGGTGATGCTGGTGCCACTCAGCTCAGAGCCAGGGCTTCCAGCAGCTTTGTGGAACCCATAATCCGTTTCCCCAGGGGAAAATCCTGGAACCTGGTGAAGTAGGTGCCCAAAACAATGTCCCTTTGCACCTCAGGGCCGTGCTCCTTGACTGGGCGCTGGGATGAGCCTTCCCCACACTTTGGCACAGCCATTTGGCATTGTTCGAGCCACCAACACCTCCAGAGGGACTGGCACCACCGGGGTGGTCACCACTCCCTGTGTCCAGCCAGGCAGGTGTCACTGCCTGGGGCTGCAGGAATCCCATGGCACGATTTGAGCTGAAAAAGGAAGTTTTCAGTTACAGGAGGGGTTTGCACAGCCCCAGAGAGTCACCCCCAGGCCCCCAAAACTTCACCTAAAAAGTGCCAGCTCTGGCCCCTGGGCATATGCCTACAAGGATGATGCTGGGCAGTGATGAAGGGCTGAACCCCAGTGCAAACCAGTTCCCCCAGTAGTAGCTCCCACACTCACCAGATCGAACTTTTCCCCATCTTTGTCAGAGCCAGGGCCAGGCTGGAGAGGTCTGTCCTGCTGGCAGCTGCTCTGGGAGAGACCTGGGCAGAGGCCCCTGCTGGCAGAACGGAGCCTGGTGGCAGGAGGGGTTACCAGTTCCACTGGGAGACCCCCAGCCCTGCTGGTTCCCAGTCTCCCAGTGCTGGGTGGGAGACACAGCGCGGGTGGAGCCCTCATGGCCAGTCACCAGGTCACGGCTCACAAGGGAGATGATCCCGTGGTGGGAATTGGGAACTGCCAAGGACCCTCAGCTCTGCCAGGTCCCCATGACCCCAGTCCAGGGTGGGAGATAACAGGGACCCCCAGCCCCACTGACTGAGATGTCACCGCTGCCCCCCAGGAGGGGACCCCAGAGAGTCAGTGCTGAAACCCACTGGGAGAGTCACGGGGACGCACGGGGGGGGTCCCACACCGAGGGGAGGGAAACAAACCATCACCTGTGGCTGCCTGGGCACGGTCCCAATCGTAGCCAGGCACCAGAGCCCGCGACGTGGGGAGATGGGACCGAACGGCCCCGGTTATCCCGGCTCTCACCTGTTTTCCCCCACTTTTTCCCGGTTTCCCTCGGCCAGTAACTCCCCGGGATGCCGGGGCCATCCTGGGCTGCTGTGGGACCGGGAGCCGCTCGGCAGGAGCCCCAGGGAACCGGGAGCCCCCGGCCCGGAGCACTCCGGGGACGCTGAACTCGGCCCGGTCCCTGCGGGGAGACGCGGCTGCGACGGCACCGGGAGCAGCGGCAGCACCGGGAGCAGCTCCAGCACGGCTCCTGGGCCGCCCAGAACAGCACCCCGAGCCCGACAGAGCCAGGACCGGGACCGTGATGGGACAGTACGTTCTGTCCCCCCCCCTGCCCGGAGCTCGTCCCGCACCCGGAGCAGCAGCTCCGCGCCCGCCCCGCCCGGCGCAGTGTCGCCGTCTGGCGGACACGGTGCGGCAGCGCAGCCCCGCGCCGGCCTCGGCCCCGCCGCCCGTCAAGGACACCGGCGACACGCGGACACCTTTCCGACACCCCTTTTATTCGAGCCGCCCGTGCGGTTTTAGCCTTCGCCCATCGAGCCAGCCGGTGCTGCCGCCCGGGACCCGCCCGCAGGTACCGGGAGCTCCTGCGGAGAAAGCGGAGCCCGTGGGGTCTCGGCGCCGGCCCCGCTACGGGGGAGGGGGGGGTCCGGTCACACCGACTCAGTCACCGCCCGGCCCTGTGCACCTTCATGCGATGCCCGTCTCCCGCACGGCCTCGCTTCGGGAAGGTGAGTCCTTGTTCAGCGTCTCCATCTCTTCTGCCTTTCTCTTCCTACGCTGCCTCCGACAGTGGCTTTTCGGGGTGGGAAAATAATTTAAAAAAAAAAAATAAAGAGGCAGAATGAGACACGGCAGCCATGCTGTTCCCTGTTCCTCTGCTTTCGTGCTGCAAAGGCTCCAAGTGGGATGGTACCCGGTTTTCAGCCCCAAAGGAACGTCCCAGGCACTTCCCTGCACCCCCAGAGCCATATCCCACCTGGCTGGGGCAGCCCAAATTCGACCTGCCAGGAGCCAGTGGAGCTGGGTAGGACTGGGTAGCTCCCAGTCTAGAACTTCCTCTTCCTCTTCCCTCTCCTCTTTCCCTTCCCTCTCTCTTTCCCTTCTCTCTTATTTTCCTTCCCTCCTTCCCTTTTTCTTTCCCATCCCTCCTTTCCTCTTTTCTTTTTCCCTTTTTCCTTTCCGTTTTTGTTTCCCTTCCCTCTTTCTTTCCTTTCCTTTCCCTCTTTATTTCCTTTCCCTCTTTCCCTTCCCCCCTTCCCTTCCCTTCCCTTCCCTTCCCTTCCCTTCCCTTCCCTTCCCTTCCCTTCCCTTCCCTTCCCCTTCCCCTTCCCCTTCCCCTTCCCTTTCCCCTTCCCCTT